AGTTGCAGATCCTTGATGTTGAGCTGTAGTACACAGTCCTGCTCCTTAATCTCATACTTCTTATTGGATCTGAGAGGTATTTTGTTCTTCTTCCACTGAACCAACACTCCAGGTTTAGATACCTCACAGATCAGAGAGGCTGTACTGCCTTCTTCTGCCTTAATGTTCTGCAGATCCTTCTTGAAGAATGGTGGGAGTTCTGGGAAAGATATGAGATGATTAAAATAAAAAAAATGTAATGTGATGAAAATCAGTAAATATTATTATATTTTACATATACAACAGCCTTTAAATTCTCCCTGATTATCACCTTTGACTGTCACATTAGCAGTTGTCTCTGTGCTTCCTGCCTGACACATGTAGCTGCCACTGTCCTCAAGTTTGAGCTCATTGATGTGGAGCTGGAGCAGACAGCCATCTTCCTTCATTTGGTACTTCCTACTCTCTCTAAGGGGAAGTCCATTCTTCTTCCACTGCACAGATACTCCTTGCTTAGATAATTCACACTGCAGTAAGGCTGCGCCTCCTTCCTCAGCCTCCAACCTTTTTAATTCTTTCTTGAAGAATGGAGGTGTCTCTGCGACAAGATTGCAGAGCAAAATACACAAGATAGCAGAAATTTAAATTCCTCCCAGCATTGGATTACAAACCCAAAACTGTTAAAGATTGGCACACCTCTGACTGAAACTGTTGCCACTGTTTCTGCTTTTCCTGCTTGACATGAGTAGCTCCCACTGTCCTCAAGCTTGAGCTCCTTGATGTACAGCTGGATGAAGCAGCCATCCTGCCTCATCTCATACTTCCTGCTGGCTCTTAATGGCAGCCCGTCTTTTTTCCACTGAATAGGCACTCCTAGTTTAGACAGCTCACAGTAGAGGCAGGCTGAGCCTCCTTCTTCCGCTTCTATGCTTTGCAACTCTTCTTGAAAGAATGGTGGAAGTTCTGGGAAAAAATTACGAAGTGAAAGTCTTGGTAATATGAAACAGCGAAATTAGGTGAACAAAAGACCAGCAAATGAAAACAGAAGCTTAAACCTGTTGAAAAGAAAGGAAAATAATTACCGGTTACAGTTAGTTTTGCATGGCTCTGCATGTCGCCTGTATCACAAGAGTATAAGCCAGTATCCTGGGGCTCAACATCATGGATCAGCAGCAGGTTTACTTTACCCTCCTTACGCATCTCATATTTATCACCACTTCGTAGTGGGATATGGCTGCGCTTCCAAGTAACCCAGGTGTTGCAGTCAGTTGTGGTACAGGAAAGGATAGCTGTCTCTCCTTCCATCACCACAGAGTCTTTGGGTTTCTCCTCAAATAAAACTAAAATTTGAAGTCAGTGTTTGATGTTAAAATGTCAGATGGAAATTGCATATTCAAGTACACATTTCCCCTAACTTTTCTACTCACCTTTTGGCTTGGGGACAACAAGCAGTTTTGCAGAGGTCCTCTCCTCCCCTACCACAAATGCTACCGTACCCGTCTCCTCTGGAGTGGTCATGGTGAGGACCAGACGGTGCTGGCGGCCATGGCAGGTCATCTGGTTCATCTCATTTTTCTGCAGAGGGCTCGAACCAAGCCACCAGGTGCCCTCGCTCACATCTGCATGGCTCAGCTCGCACACAAACACAGCGTCCTCTCCAGCTGTCACTGTTAAGTCATGCAGCCCTTTCACAATCCTGATGCGCTCTGTGGAGAAAGAGGAGCAGTACTCAGCGGGCTTTTGAAAAAGTTCTGCAAGTTGGAATATCAATGAGAACGATTGCTTCGAGAAAAGATCTCCTTGAAATGCCTGTTAAAATGCAATAATCCCAGGGTGTAAAGCAAGTTAGATCATAGAAAATGATTAAAAGAAATGTGTAATATGTAACGTAGATAGTTCAACCTAAAACAAATTAATAAACTTAATTGAATTTTGTAAAGTTGCACTTTAGCAGTAAAATGTTCTCCAGAGCTATCATATTATATGGATATAAGGATATCTCCACAGCCCTCTCAAGTGACCACAGATTTCTATTGGGTCTAATTCTTGGCTTTATATAAGCTTTTATAAGGCTATTATTTGTGATTTGTAATTTAGAAATCAGTTTCTACTGAAAAAAAAAGTATCTCTCTCCATCAGTGCTGGGAAAAGTATTTAACATTACTTCAACAAAAGTAACTAAGTAAGCAACTCAGTTACTGCACAATCAAAGCAACTAGTTACCTCGGCAAAGTAACTATGTATTTACTGCTTATGATGTAAAATGTTGATGAATTTGAGTCAATTAATTTTTATCTGAACTTTAAATACAGCTTGAAGTTCAGCTATTAAAGATTAAGTGTTTCTTTTATGAATTGATCATTTGAATTAGGGATGAACAATTAATTATATTGCAATATAATCAATTTAACAAAACACAGTCTTCAAAACNCAACCAAGATCAATCCCAACCAAGCCTCCGCTAACAGTACTGTCTCTCTCACAGACTCCAGTGAACCAGTCCCAGACCAGAACCAGTTCAACTGTTCATTCATTCATTCATTCATGTTTGTTCCTCAATAAACTGTTTAAACTTTCCCTCTGAGTCGTCAGTGTTCTGCATTTTGGGCCTCTCTGTTTACCCATCATGACAATAATAACATTTAATAGACGACCAACATCTATATCCAGTGTTTCACAGTAAATAATAGCAGTAAACCATTTGCACAAATAAAGCTTAACTCTGAAGAATAACAGAGCATTATATGTTGATAAACTGGCTGCCAGTTTTAAGTAAGTATTATTGAAAAGTGAGATGGTGCAAGAATCTTCAATAAATTAGAATTGCTTTATAACTCATGTAGCTAAAGTTTTTGTCGCCAAACATATTGTGGGTAATTCACTGGAACATTTGACCTTTGACTTTAGGGAGTGTGTCCGGTTCACTATCATTGAATTTGCAGTGCTCTCTACCTTCACCTTGCATCTTTCCTCTGAGTTTCTTAGAGCAATCAATGCATGATGGACATCCACTCTAATTATGGCTCCTTCGCCAATCGGCCTTAAAAATGGTGCATGCACCATCCCAGGATAAAAACTAAAAGCAGTCCGGTCCAGCAGCAGAGATCTCTTTAATGGATCAAATTGCCGTATGCACCATGTTAGATTGCATGCAACGAAACCTAAAGCAGTTAAAAAATGTCATTAATATATTATTCTGAAACTACATAACTGCAAACAATGCTCCCTACAAAATTTTCTTAAACACACCTGAATATTTTGGTTTACATGTGAGTGGTTTTTGAAACAGGTTGTAATAGATTTTGCTTTGAAAAAAACTCATCTAAAGAAAAGGAAGCCCATGATGCCACTGTTATTCTGTGGATATAAGGCTCTGTTGGTATTGCTTTGCCAAAAACTCTGTTTTTTTAAATCAGAGCAGTAAGTTCAAGTTTGATGTCAGATCAAACATATTTACCCATTAGCTTCTGGCAGATTTTAGACAGAACTGGATGTTTTCTTTCTCTCAACACTAATTTTTAGTCATAATAAGTCATTGCTGTCAGATCAAACGACTCATAAACAAAGCAAATGTTTAAGCTTCTGCACAAGGATATTGTAGCTTTTTAAAATCTTTTAGGTTTTCTACTTATCAGAGTTAATTGTTTAAGGCTAAAATACACAGAATGTTGGACACATTCAAGGTGGAATTGTTAGGAATCCAGTTTGTGTGGGTTGTGTTTTTGTGTTGTTCTCTCCCTCCACCACCAGGTGGCGCCCTGTTCTCGTTGGTCCTACCACACACCTGCGGCTGGTTGGCTCATTACTGAGGACTATTTGAGCGGTGGACTGTCACTACCTTGACGCCAGAGTGTTTGCCAGTTTTGGGTACTCTAGCCAAGCTGAGTTTAGCTGAGTCTAAGTTAGTCTTTGTTTACACTAAGCCTAACCTTGTTTTTGTCTTTGCCTTTTCGGCAGGAAAGCCTTCCTGCAAGCTGGATGTTTGGCCTTCTTCCCCTGGAAGGATTGTTTGAGTCTCACACTGAGCAGGTGATTAACCTCCACAAGTTCCGTTCAAGCCCACCAGGATTCCCAAGTGACAGTCCGCTCAATAGCTCCTCAGGATCCAACCAAGTCTAAACCTGTCAGCCCTCCAACGAGTCTCTACCTCTGGATAAACCCACACTTACTGGATTCTGGGAAGAAAGACTTCTCCACTAACCTGAGTCACATTTTCTCTGTCTCTTCAGCCATCGCTCAAAGTTCCCACAGATCCTGAACTAACCGCTGATACTTCCCTTCTCTCTTCCAGTTCCGTTTCACAAACACACTGAGTTTCCTGAATCAAACCCCCGCTGTCCTTATCAATAAACCTGTTATAACGTTTGCCATGGTTCTGAGTGGGTTTACTGCATGTGGGTCAGATCTCTTAAGAAAATCATGACAGGAACATGTTTTGCTAACTTAATCATGGTGTTTTGTTTTTTACAAAGAAACTGAGAATTTTAACAGAAGTCTGTATATTCAAAGGATCCTATCAATATTCAAATTAGAAAAAAGTTTTAAAACATTAGATACAAATTTACTGTAACATTCACCTACCCCTCACTATCAGCTTTGCAGTGGTCTTCTTGCCTCTGCTGATGCAGCAGTACTCTCCAGCATCAGCCAGTTCCAGTTTCTTTATTTCCAAAGTGTGCAAAGGACCTTTCTTTTTTAGTATATAATGCAATCCGTCTTCAACCACAGCGCTGTCTTTCCTCCAAGTGACTGGAACATTAGCGCTGGAAACTTCACAGGACATCAAAACAGATTTTCCCTCCATTGCCACTTGGCTCTCTAGTTCCTTCTCAAAGTACACAGATGCTGCAGCTGTTAAACACAAAATGAATAAAAAATGTGAATTCTCAACCAAATGTTTAATATTCATTTCATATTATGAAATTTCCCTCACCTCTCACGTTGACTTCAGCTGTTGTCTTCTGACCCCCGAAGACGCAGCTGTACTCTCCAACATCCTCTGGTTGTATGTTTCTGATTGTCATCTCAGCTTCCTTCCCTCTCTGTGCCATCTGGAACCTCCCTCCATGGCAGAGCTGGTCGTCCCCTTTCCACCACTGCACGGGCACCCCGGCCCTGGACACCTCACAGCGCAAACACACATTCCCTCCCTCTGGAGCCTCCTGGTTCTTCAGGCCCATTTTAAAAGTGAGAGGAATGGCTGGGGATGTATAAAATTAAAAATATTAATTCACACAACCACTGCATTATTGATTATGACAAAAAAAAGTTGGTCATTTAAAACTTTAAAAGAATATAGGATTCAGAATACAACCTTTGTGACAATTATTTTAAATATCTTAGAACTAAAAGCGAATAATGCTCCTGCTGCTGTCTAAAATGTCTGACTTATATATGTTTAATTGTATCAGTTTGCACAAAAAAACCCTATAGTCCCTGTAGCTTATACTAAACTAAATATCAATCTATATCTCTCTTTTCCTTTTCTCAAATACTATAGTTAGAATATCCTCTCCTTAAAGGTATAGTGGAAGATGTTCTTTTTTGAGGTTGATCATCAAAATAAGTGGTCCTCCTAATTGTCAATCATTCTGGTGATATGTCTATGTAAGGCCGTCCTACATGCTCGTTCACATTTTCACTTACCGGTGGTGAGTCGGACATAGTGAAAAAAAAAGCAAATCTTATTTTGTAAAGTAAGCTTTTATGAGCGATGCAAATAGCAACTATTAAACAGAGCGTGCACAAGGAGAAAAGGGCTTGTGCATGTTCTCTTACAAGTTTAAGAGACATTTTCGGGAGCAGGTAGAGGGTTGTTTATGTGCATTTCTTTTTAATGTGTAGAAGGCAGATCTTTTCAAACATCTGCGATAATCCTCCACTGTAACTTTAAGTTGTAAGTCTGCTGTGATAAACACTGACGGGTCCAATTGGTCAAGCTTTGAACACAATTCTTATTTAGGTTTACCAAGGAAAGGCAATCTTAATATATTTAAGTACCATGCATCAATAATTTACATTTTTAGAGCATTAATTACCATTATTGTATCAGTGTTTTATGTTACAGAAGCATACTGTATGCAACAACCAGTAAATCCTATGATCCAACAGCTCCTCTAATAGAATAACTGATTTCAAGCCACTGTGTTAAAGGCTGTCTGAGGAGGGTGGGCACAGTGCATAATGCTGTAAAAATGCTAACATTGCATTTTCATGTAAACATGATGGGGGTCTGTTTGGCCCAATTTTAGTACGGAGCCAAAAAGTATAATCACTTGTTGGTTTTTTAGATAATCTTTGAAATAAGAGAGAAATTCCTCACTTTCATGAAAGCAGAATAAAGCCTCCTCTATCTGAGCTTTTACAAGACTTTTTACAGATTTTTTTGATGATCAAGATATTTTTTCTAACATCTGACAGCAAATCAGTTTTCCAACCTCATGATGTTTATTATTTCTTACGTGTGATTGTGACATGTGCGGTGGTCTTAACATCTCCACAAATACAACTGTAAAGTCCACTGTCCTCCAGCTGTGCATTTTTGATGGTGAGCTCCATGTTGATGTTACGGTTTTTAATCTGGTATTTAAAATCACTCTTCAGCAGCTCTTTCCCTTTCATCCACTCTACAGCAAGGCCGGGCTTTGACACCTCGCAGCTCAACGTCACACTGTTTTCCTCCTCCGCCTGCTGGTTCTTTAGCTTTGTTTTGAATGTTACAGGAGGAGCTGCAATAGGAAGAAATTATGTACTTATTATTAAGTTGTATTATATGTTTAAATCAAGTTTAAAATTTGCATATGCCCCTCTTTCTTGCAAAAAAAAACAAAAAAGCAAATTAAAATAGAGTACACCCCATACCTACTTACGGAAGAGGATTAGGGCCACTGGAAAAAAAAAAGTTAACTGATTTTTAAATTTAATTTCAGTTTAGTGTGGGAAAATTCAGAATTCTGACTTTAATCTCAGAATTCTGACGTTTTTCTCAGAATTTTGACTGAATTCTGACAATAAATAAGTTAGAATTTTTATAATTAAAGTCAGAATTTTGAGATTGAAGTCAGAATTCTGAGAATTCTGAGATTAAAGTCAGAATTCTGACTTTTTCCCATACTAAACTGAAATAAAATGTAAAAATCAGTTAACTTTTTTTTATTTTTTTCCAGTGGCCCTATTCCTCTTCCGTGCCTACTTTTAGGTATTAGTTAAGTTCTAATATATTAGAACTTTTTTCATCTACTTTCTGAAGAAAAAAACATATATATATATATTTTAAAGAACATCTACTGAAAAAAGCAAAAGTAATTCAGCTTTAGAGGTGAAAAAAACATTTGATAAAAAACTATATTTTTGTATTCTTTCCTCTAACCTTTGACTGTGAGCTCAGCAGTGGACTGGCTGTCCTCTGTTTTGCAGGTATATTTCCCAGCATCACTCTCCTCAATGTTATTGATGATTAATTTGGTGAGACCTCCTTCTTGTTTTATCTCATACTTATAACCGGCCTTGAGGATCACTCTGCCTTTTCTCCAGTCGACAGGAGCTCCGGGCTTGGAGAGCTCACAGCAGAAAGTAGCACTGTCTCCTTCCTTTACCTCCAAACTCTGAACTTCTTTCTTGAATGTTACTGGAAGAGCTGGAAAAACAAGTTTAGAAAGTTATCTATGATAAAAAAAAATGTTAACATTTTCCCTTACAGAATCAACAAAAACATACCTCTAACTTTGATGTCAGCTGAAGTTACAGCATTTCCAGCAGAACAGCTGTATTCTCCTGCATCTGCAAGGGTTACATTTCTAATCAGCATCTCAGCCGATCGGCCCTGTTGCTTTATCTGGTATTTCTCTCCATCCAACAGCAGCTGTGCATCTCTCCTCCACTCTACTGCTTGGCCAGGTTTGGAGAGCTCACAGCGTAATGTTAAACAGCCGTCCTCCACTGCTTCTTGGTTTTTTAGTTTTTGCTTGAAAGTCACAGGAATTGCTGAGGAAGAGAAAGCCAAAAAAATTACTGAGGCCTCAGTGCACACCATGATTTCATTTCATGATGGTTGTGGAGTGTCTCACCGGTAATTGCAACATTGGCCATAGTTTTAAGATCATCACAAATGCAACTATAAGAGCCGCTGTCCTCTGGGAGACTTTTCCTGATTAGAAGTTCTACTTTGGAGCCGTTTTGCCTTATCTGGTATTTCTCACTGCTGGTTAGAACAATATCTTCCTTCTTCCACTGGACTGGGTATCCTGGTTTGGAGAGCTCACAACAGAGTGCCACTCCATTACCCTCCTGTACTTGAACATTTCTCAGATCTTGAATGAATTTTATCGGCCTTTCTGCAGTAAACAAAAGTAAAATACCCAAATTGTGACCAGTTACATTATAGCAGCATAATTGATTGCATAAGGAATACCAGTAGGAACGAATAAAGGGAGAAATAATTTTTTCTAACTGAATACATTCTATAAATTCCTCCTTGGATTCCTTTATATTTTGAAGTATCACATATAAGGAAGGAATTGGATGGTGTGGGTTATAAAAAAAAAAAAACAAAAACAGGGCAATCTCTAGTGCTCTTCATTTTGTTGTTTTTATGCTGAAAATATTTTTTGAAACATATTAAAGTGAACTAATATAAACCTAACCGAGGAAAATAAAAATGAAATGCTTTACACACCGTTCACTGTGATCTGAGCTGTCGTCCTTTCCTCTCCACATAGACAAGTGTAATCTCCAGAGTCCTCAACAGTGAGGTCAGTAATCTTCATTTCAACCTGCAGGTCTTTCTTCCTCATCTGATACTTGTCTCCATTTTTGAGCAGCACTCCTCCTTTCCTCCACGCCACAGAGGAAGCAGGCTTATTGAGCTCACAGTGCAGAGACACAACGTTGCCCTCTGTGACCTCCTGGTTCACTAACGGTAGTTTAAAACTTGGAGGAAGATCTGTCAATAAGCACAATTGAGATATTCAGTTTTTGTCACGGTGCTGTACTTCAGACAAGATGAAAAAGATGCAGTAATGACAGGAAATGAAGGGTGTCTCAGGGAAAAGGTTTCCTCAGGTAGAATATCATGCTCACAATGAGTTCTTTCTATTTAAGCGATAAGTAGATATTATCCACTTATACCAGACTAAATAAAGAATATTATTTAGGGAGTGAGTTTTTGACAGGCTGGCAGCACAACCCAAGCACAACCTTGCATTGTTCTGGAATGTTCAGTGGATCTCAATAATATACACACCCCTGTTGAAATCTCTGGTGTTACTAAAGAAAAAAAGGGGAACATAAAAGGAAGGAAAAAAATCAAATGAGTACAAATCATAAATTTGAAAGTTAAGCTTTGCAATCAGTTACATATGACCTGTTTGGCATGAAGTCAGTTAGACCAGACCCTTGAACAACTACTATTTTAAAGCATATTTTGATTCAATTTCTACACCCAGTCTTCTTGGATACACTGATAAAAATAAACCACAGGATACATGAAATAAAGATGTCTTTGAATTAATTTCCTGACATTTTGTGACAGGCATCCTTTTGATTGAGTCATAGATTTGCAGAAGCTGCAAAGGATCTTATTGCACAAAGATATCTGTCAGGAGAGAGCTACACAAAACTGTCACATAGTACTTCTTACTAAGGAAACTGTCACAGTCTTGATTCTTTTATGTTTTCTTTTGTGTATTCAGTTTTGCTTTGCTCCATGTTTTCTAGTTTTATTGGTTTAATTCTCATTTTGTTGTGTTTTCTGGTTATTTTTCAGTTTTTGGTTTTTTTATTTGCTGCCCTCTGCTGCCCTCTTGTGTTCTCCTTTTTCCCTAGCTCCAGTCTGCTATGTTCACACCTGCTCCCAATCTGCTCGTTAATCCTCTCTTTGTTCAGTCTCTCATAAATACACTCCTTGAGCAGTTCCTCAGTGCTGGTTCCTTGTCTAACTTCCTCCAACTCTGTTTCACTGAGTCTTCCTCGTCGAGATAGTTTTTTCCCCCCTGATGCCTCCATGGTTTATGGTTTGTTTGACTTTTTTTTCACGTTTGACTTTTTGGATTCCTGCCTCTGTTGTCTGTTAACAGTTCATTAGCAATCCAGAAACTTACCTCTGCCTCTGCATTTGGGTCCTCAAACCACAACCAAATCCTGACAGAAACGCATTACTGGCCTGATAATAATTCCCAGAAATATTATGATCAACGAAACCAAACTTAATGTTAAGCCTTCTGCCACAATAAAAAATAATAGAAAGAACATGGCGAAACATGGGGGAGGCAACATAATACTGTGGGATTACTGCTCTTCAGCTGGTTTTGGTGATTTAAAAAAGTGCTTTAAATTCTGATAAATTTTGCCTCAAAGATGTTGAAAACAAAAATGTTATCTGAAACTTCTGCCATGGAATTTTAGAATCTTAGTGCCATGCCATCTTAAATTAATACATGGCATGGAATATTTGGACTGTGCTAAACCGAGCAAAACACGTTTCTAATTTCATAGGTTCTGATAACTTCAATGGGAAGTATGTAAATATATCACCATGAGAAACTGTTTGATTATCAAACAAGTCTGAATGCTGAAACCGTAAATAACCTCTAATGGTCCCGTTTTAACATCTTTCACAACAGGCATTTACAACAAGGGTGTCTAATTTTTGAAATCCACCATGTTTGACATGTATAATTCATGAACAACTAAAACTATTCTAAATGGTATTATAACAAATGAGTCAAGGAAACTGCAGATATGGAAGAAGTAATGAACAGTGGTGGCAAATCACTGTGACATAAAGCCATGATTTGGATAAATAAGTGGGTGAGAGATATGAAGAAGGAATGTCTGTTTTTTTATGGCTTTCCGATATAATGAAGTTCACTCAGAGGGTGTGACTTTTGGTTTTTATTTTGAGGCTGACCTCTTTGACGTCTGCGCTCAGGTGATGCTGTAGAATACACTGTGAATTGATTTTACAGAAAGAGCATCGCATCTATGAAATCTTTATTAGAAGGTATTCTGGTGTACGTCCAGAAGCTATGGAGGTTTTGGTCTCACCTCGGACTCTGAGCTCTGCAGTGGATTGACTGTGTTTAGTCTTGCAGGTGTATTTTCCAGCATCACTTTCCTCCACCTTGTTGATGATCAGTTTAGTCAGCCGGCCCTCCAGTTTCATTTCATGTCTCTCTCCAGGCTTTAACAGGACTCTACCTTTTCTCCACTCCACAGGAGCATCAGGTTTGGAAAGCTCACAGCAAAAAACTCCACAGTCTCCTTCTTTGACTGTTAGGCTCTGAAGTTCTCGTTTGAATGTGACAGGAAGCGCTGTAATGGGGTTTTAGAGAAGAAATGGGAGTTCAACTGTCATTTTCTTTCTAAAATGAAAATAAAGTACAGACCTGCTGCAACTCTTATCATTCAGGTCATCATGTAAATGCTTTCATAGTTTATTCTTATGTACAAACTTACGTCTGACTCTGACTTCTGCAGTGGTTTTCTCATCTCCAGTGATGCAGCTGTACTTCCCTGCATCTTCCAGTTGCACGTTGAAAATAGTCACCAGCGCTTTCTTTCCTTCAACCTTTATCTGGTATTTGTCACGGCTTAACTCCTCAGACAGAACCTGACCCTCCTTCTGCCACTGAATTGGGACTCCTTTCTTTGACAGCTCGCAGTGAAGAGTCACACTAGTCCCTTCTTCCACTTCTTGGCTCTTCAAACTCGATTTAAATGATGCAGGGACTGCTATTAAAATAGAAATAATTTGTAGAATTAAAGCTACGCTAAGGTAAGGGGTAACAATAAAAGCTCAAACCCTGTACTTTAGTGCCGGGGAAAAATTGTACACTTTTCATTGGAATGCCATATAGAATATGAGAACATGATGCATTTGAATCGTAGTTTCTCAAGGGTGGAATGGAATATTTGAATAGAGTGTGCAACTTATACATTTATTGAACTTTCTGTAATATACGGATCTTCAAAATCAAATATATACGTTTATATATATAAGTACACCTCTGATGACATGCGGAGAAATGTTCCACTTAAACTCCATACTTTGAGTAGCCAATTATAACATGCTCTGTTGTGTCTTTGTCCTTTAGTGAGGGAGTGCTGCATCCTAGGAGCACATTGGAACATCATCACAGATCCTTCCTCCAATCAGCTTTTAGGCTTTATTTCTATTAATGTTCCCATTAAACATGGTGTTTACATCCCTGCGGTTATTGCACAGCTTTCTAATCTCTCCTAAATAGTCCAAAAACCAAATGTGGTTTTACAAGTTGTGTATTTTTTCCCCCCAAATTTTCTCCTTAGTTGTGCTTTTTTTGTTGCTCTTTTTCATGTTTTTTCCTATGAAGTAAATTTTCCTTTTTCTAATTCTATGTGCTTTGTCTTGCTGATCACCTTGCTGCTGGTACAACTGAACCTCTACTAAGAAACAATGATAATTTCAATTCTTCTTATCTATCTGTGCTATATTTTTGAACGTCATAACTGGTAGAAATAGAACTCCTTTAAAAATGTTTTCTGTAATTAACTGATTGATTAATGATATTTTATCTATTCTAAAGATAGGTTTTAATATTGAAACATGCAATTGTTTTCACCTTTTAACCATCTAGCAGTTGAGGTGATACCAGAGTGTTTTTTTGATAACTTTCCTTGATAAATGTGGTTTTTGTAATGCAGAAGAACCAGTAGCAGCCAAACAGATCCAAAGCAGTACAGTGATCTTACTCTGACAAGCCTCTCTCTTACCCTTCCTAATATTACCCTTGTTTTTTAGTTTGTTTGTTTTTTAACATAAGATTTGCATTTAACAATTTAATCCCTGAAATTAAAAAACATAAAAAGAAAGACAGATTAATAAAACACACACAAAGAAACTCAGTAATCTGCATGCTTCTTCCCATTTTCTTCAATGTCTTTTAGAAATTTGGACAATGGTGATCATGACTCTTCAAAATGTGCTCCCTTTCCTCTACAATATAAGTTAGTCACTCCAGAGCCATACATGATGCCATTTCCTTCACCCATATATGGTTGAAGTTGAATATTATCTTTGTTATTAAATAGTTCAATCTGTCTCCTTCAACAATAAAGCTTTCCTCTAAAAGGAATGTGTTTTTTTTTTTTTTTTTAAAAAACTTTAGTTTTTTGGACCATGATCAGAAAAGCTTTGCTTTTCTGATCATGGTCCCCAACACACATTTAAGCCTTATTCCTCTCCCACGCCTCTCCCTGCACAGATGCAGGTATCTCTCACTCACTCCCCATTTGGTTATTTTCTTCTTACTTTCTATCTTCTTATCTCTTAGCCAAAGTGACAGAAATTTGGACAAAACTAAAATTTTCCAGGACTCTCTGGCTGGACTACTTTAAACATTTTTATTTTTGATCACACTGCAGAGAAGCGCAACTCCATATCAGCGCAAAATACCTTCACCACACGGGACTTTACAAGCTTCTAAGCAGGATGGCTATCTTGGAAATGAAGATTAACTGAACTGAATAATCCAACCCAGATCTGAAAAGACACCTGACAGGGCGAACCCCACTTTTAAACGACAAAACCTGGCCAAGACTTCAGAGAGAAAAGGTGCAAAAAGCTGTTCAACATTTATACAAATATTAGCAAAGGATGTATGTTTGCATTTGATTATATTCATCTTATTCTGATTAAGTCTGAACTTGATAAAACTTTTAATACATTTTTAATTTTCATTTAACCTGTTTTTTTACTTTTCGATCATGAAGATGCATGGTTATTACTTTAACCTAAAATAATATTGATTGAATGCATAATCTAAAGCAAACATTAATATTGTTTAAATGTGCGTGACAAATGCCTGTACATTTGAAAATGATACACATTACAACAGTCTCACACACAAAAAATACATACCAATAACTTTTACAGTGGCTTTAGTCTTCTGCTCCCTGCACACACATGTATAGACGCCGCTGTCCTCTAACTCAGCATCCCTGATGGTGAGTTCCAGGCTGGAGTCCCTCTGCTTTATCTGGTACTTGTCTCCATTCTCGAGCTTCTCTCCTCCAAGCCACCACTCCACTGGGACACCAGCTTTAGAAATCTCACATTGCAGTGTGATGTTGTGTCCTTCCTCCACCTGCTGGTTCTTCAGCTTCTGTTTGAACGTTACAGGAATGGCTGAAAGGTCAAAAGGGTATGGATAGTTAGCATTTAATAATAAGAGTAACTTATAAAAACATTCAAAAAAATCTCTAATCTCTACTTTTATGTAACTTCATCTGCAGTCCAACATTAAGTCCTGAAAGAATAATTATATTTAAACCTATATTTAAACCTGTTAAGAGCTGTTTAAAATCAAATATGATATCGTTTTTTTAGCATTTTTTTGTTTTCTTTTTAAATATCCTTTATACCCAGCATGATCTAAAACTTAAGATAAAACTGGAATGAAACTTTGTGGTTTTATTACCATTAACAGTCAGAGTTGCTGTTGTCTCGATGTTTCCACAGATGCAAGTGTAGATATCGCTGTCATCAGGAGTCACATCTAGGATCCTGAGTTCAATATGTGTGTCTCTCTGTCGCACATGATACTTCTCTCCATTCCTGATGACCCCACCTTGATTTTTCTTCCACTCTACAGTTTGACCAGGCTTGGAGAGTTCGCAGCGAAATATAGCATTGTTTCCTTCCTCAATCAATATGTTCCTTAGCTTCTGTTTAAAGGTGATCGGCAGGGCTGAAAAGTCATGGATAAAAATTAGCTAAATAACCAACTCCAGATTATTCTTAAAATCATCACATCAGCTCATTGGTTAATAACATCTTACTGGTAATCTTGACTGTAGCAGATGTTATCTGATCAGCACACACACAGCTGTAAACCCCACTGTCCTCAGGTACAGGTTTCCATATCAGAAGCTCAAAGGTGGTCTCCCTTTTCCTCATCTGGAACTTGATGCCGTTCGTCAGCAGCTCCTGCTCCTTCCTCCATTCCACTGCTATTCCAGGTTTAGAAACTTCACAGCGCAATATCACACTACTGCCCTCCTCTGCTTGCAGGTTCTTAAGTTGCTGAATGAAGGTAATGGGAATTGCTGTGCAAAAGAAAGTTTTGAAATAATAATCCCCCAGGTCATACAGTAATGGCAAAACAGGCTATAATAAATCAAAGAAACTTTAGTAGATAGGTTTTGTTTTTTTTTGCTTTTGTTTTTTCTTCGAAACATGAAAACCTTAAACATAAAATCTTGCCTGTCTCTTGTTTCCATTAAGATCTTAGCATTTGATAAAATTCTAGGATTTAAATTTCATATTAGAGAGAAAAAGTAGACTTTTTATTATAAGATCTTTGGACAAATGTGAAGGAAAACCCTTCACCAAATAGCTCACCGTTTACTTTAAGGCTGGCTGTGGTCTGGTGTTTTCTGCATTGGCATGTGTACTCTCCTGTGTCCTCAGGCTGAAGTGCTTTGATGGTCATAGAAAGAATGGTTTTCCTCTGTTTCATGACGTATTTATCTCCAGGCCGGATATTCACAAAACCTTTCCTCCATTGAAATTGGACTCCAGGTAAGGAGTATTCACAAGTTAACGTAACATCCTCTCCCTCATTGGCCTCCATGGCATTCAGAGGCTTGGTGAACTCTGCCGGGATGGCTAAAGAAGACAAGAACCTTTATCTGCACTAATTCTACAGTAAATACACAAAACGTGGTGATAATACATAATATATTTCAGGTTTATACCTTTAACGGTGACCATAGCTGTAGTTGTGACATATCCAGCGCTGCACTCATACTCTCCGGCATCACTGTTGCTGACCTCTCGAATAGTCAGTCGTGCTTCACAGCCAGAACGGGTAATTAAGTATCTGGAGGAGTGCCACATCAGACAGCCATCTTTGTACCACAAGATGTGGCATGGTTTGGAAGTGACACAAGACAACACTAAACCACCTCCTTCAAAAGCCTCACAGTCCTCCAGTGCTTTGATGATAGTAGGACGCCTCTCTGATAACATGAAGAGAGACTTGTCACCTCTGACTGGAACACTGGTCCACATGAATATTCTAAAAAACTCACAAAAAGCTCCTTACCTCTAACTAGCAGTGAAGCATAAGATCTTTTGTCACCTGCCACGAACGAAATAGTGCCAGTGTCTTTCCGAGCAAGCTGTCTAAATGTGAGAGTATGGAAGCCCCCAGATCCCATCTGAATCTCATTAAGCTCGTTAGTATAAAGCAGAGTCTCATCCAGGTACCATTTGACCCCCAAGTAGTCATCGGGACAAATTCGACACCTGAATGTGACTGTGTCACCTTCAAGACACTCCACATCCTCGAGCTCATCCAAGATTATCACTTTCTGATCTGTAATATAGAAGAGTGAAAAAAATATGGACACAACAAAAGTATCAGCTTTTAACTTTTGCAACATTCAAACAACAAACTTCACTGTACATTATGTTGTAGGATCCAATATTACCTTAGCTAGTTCAATACTTGTGTACTACATACTTTAGAAATAAAAATCATATGTTTGTTGAGGTTTTACAAAAAGCCAAGCAGGGCCAACATTTTTCCGAACCCCATGTTGTTATAATTATAGCTCCAGGTCTCTTAGGGTATTTCCCTACCAGTTTTATAAATCTTAAAAAGTAAGTTAGAAGCATCTGTACAGTATTTTCAAATTCATTCAAACTAGTTAGAAAGGGTTGACAAAAATCAGTTTTGAAGTCTTGCATCAGATACACATTCTGGAAGATGATGGTTATTTTATGGAAGAAAAGCATTCTAACAGCACTATGAAGATGACAACACCATGTTTTAGTGGGGTAATGGCAGTCTCAGGTAATGAGAAGTCTTATCTCCCTGCCAGATGGAACATTTTACATGTTGGTCAAATTGTCCATCCAGACGAACCTACTTCAACAGACTTTTGGGGTTTCCTACTTCGGGGAGTGGTGGCCTAGTGGTTAGAACATTGTGCTTGGGTCACGGAGATTCTGAGTTCAACTCCCATACCAGACTGAGCAAAACCCACACTGTTCTCCGGGCTCCGCACAATGGCAGCTCACTGCTCCCAAAGGGAATGGGTTAAATGCAGAGGTGAATTTGTGTGTGAGATCAATAAAGTTAAATTATTATTAAATGTTTAGTATCTTCTTTAAACAACAGTTTTTATAGTGACCATTTTTTATCATACGCCAAACATTTTATGTCTTCATGCTCTGATCAACCTCCTCCAATGCCCCTTTGCCACACCTAATTGTTTTCTTGCTTTACCAGTGGCTGTACTTCCCTTCTCTACCTTCCCACCAGACGATCAACTGCCCTGCTCCATCAGAAATCCAGGCATCCATTTTTGTTTGTTGTTTTGCCCTCTACTGTGTCTTGTGACCCTCTGGCTCCTTTCCAAGCCCTATACTGTTTATCTGATATCCAGACATTGATGATAATTCTGCCTTACGACATCTGCCATTCTGTAAATGACACTGAATATTGACCTAAAGTCTGGGACGAGCAGTGTAATTGCAGAATGGCCCTAGTAGAAATGAATTGAATGAATGAACCATTCTGAGAGTTATTCCTTTTTAAATGTATTGATTGCAATGTTCAATTATGTTACAAAGTGAGATAAACAGTTGAAATTAAAATAGTTAAACTTTAAAGATGGCATTTTGGCATTTAAAGGCAATATGTTATTTACGGCAGTTGACTTTTTGTTGTTGTTAATGTGCTGAAAAAAGCTGTTAAGGGCATAACTGGAGGAACTGGAGGAGGTTCTGTAACCCAAAATGGGGCCTGGTAGATAAGTGTGGGAACCACCAGTTTAAGACAACAGAAACTTCATTCCCTTTTGAAGGGAGATAATGACTTAATTATGCTCCAAACACCTTCACACTTCATGCATTTTGACCTCACCCTGCACAGTCAGATGTGCCCGGCTTTGCATGGTACCAACGTCACACACGTAAATATCCGCGTCTGTTTTCTCCAGACAGTTGATGGTTAGGGTTAGAACAACTCCCTTCTGCTTCATGACATACTTCTTCCCAGACCTGAGCTCCAACATGCCCTTCAGCCATGTCACGCGCTTGGCTGGCCGCCTGGTCTCACATTCCAGTGTCACTTTACCCTTTTCTTCTCCTCGAGTGTCCCTCAACTCCCTTGCAAATGTGTGTTGAAATTCTAAAATAAAATAAAGTATATTTAGTAAGTCAAGCCAAGATGCATACTCAGTTTACATACTGTAGCATACTGTATTGTAGAAAATCTTGCCTATATCAAGAAATGCCCTCTTTAAGAGGGCACTATTCTCAGACGATTTCACTGTGTTACAAACAAAGAAAATGGAGAACCTCATGCAATTTTCAGGATTGAAACACTAAATTATGACCCTCCATCCTAATATTGCTGCTGGAATCAAGTCTCATTGGATGAGAGAAAACATTTCCAGTCTGTTGAATGTTACATTTTGGTCAACTAGTGAAAATTGTAGCTTATTAGATAATTTTAAACTTCCTTAGCATTTATCTTCTGAAATCAACAAAGTATTTCTTTCCACACAACTGCCATATTTTGCCTTTTTCTGATCATTATCCATAAACCTGAAATATGGGTTGTGTGTAAAAATCTTCAAAAATAAACACTTCTATAAAACAATAAAATCAACCTAGCTGAAACTTTAAACCAAAGGTCAACCAAATGCCCTTCAGTCATCATTGTGGGACTAAGTTTAAACCTAATCAATGATATTTTAGTCTAGAAGCCTTAATGCCAAGGGATTGATTCAATGTTTACTTTAACAACACCTGTGGATAATGGTAAATAAGAAAAATGTCAGTAACTGTATCTGAAAAAATAATACGTTACTTTTGAATCTGTCTGTTTGTAATTTCTACTTTTACTAAAAGATTAAAAACGGTAACTACCTCTGATCTCCACCTTGGCTCTGGAAGCAACACCGTCAGCTTCACAGCAGTATTCTCCAGAGTCTCTGATGGAGGTATTTTTGATCAACAGCCGGGCCAGGTTCTTCTCTATGCTCATCTCATATTTAGGGCTCTGCCTGATGGGACGTCCATTCTTCAGCCATCGAATGGTGACATCTGGTTTGGTGATTTCGCAGCTCAGCTCAGCATCCTCCCCAGGCACGGCCTTCACATTTAACAGGTCCCTAAAGATGTGCACAGACTTCTCTATAGAGGGAAAGCAAGTATTTTCTCAATGTTAGCATAAACTGAATAAACATATAAACCTTAATGAGACACAGCTTTTTACCTTTTACAAACAACATGGTCCTACAACTCAGATCTTTAATTGTGAAAACCACGTCACCAGCGTCAGAAAGGAGGACATCTCTAATGGTCATCTTATAGATGCGTTTGTCGTTTACTAGCTGAATGCGGCTGTTCGTAACCACCATCTGACCATTGATGGTCCAAAGTGGTTCATCATCCAGATCATGAGATAGATGGCACTCGAAAACACAGCTTTCACCTTCCAGAACAGAGACTGTCTTTATCCGCTGGACAATGCTAATAATAAGATCTGCAAATACAAGATAAAACAGAAGCTTTGGGATCAATCTTGGTAGCTGCAGACCATTACAGACAGCAATAACAAGTGCAGAAGATTAAGAGATTGAACTGTTAGTGCTGTTTGAATTCCCTTTACCATGTACTGTTACTTTAGCCTTGGACTGACTGGTACCCAGGTCACAGGTGTATTGACCAGCATCTTCCTTGCTCAGTGTGTGGATGATCAGTGCTCTGCACTTCCCGCACTGCACAAACTCATGTTTTTCATCAGGTGACAGGACGGCCCCATCCTTCTTCCAGATAGGAGTTACTGAATCTTTAGAGATTTCACACTGCAGGCAAACTTCCCCTTTCTCCTCTCCAATAACATCCTCCAAAGACCTGAGAAACACAGCTGGACGCTCTGGAGACAAAACACATTCATGCAAGTTCATGAGTTTCCTAAATTCAGAGCTTTTCTTTATTGTGCACTTCATATAATTTTGTTTCTGACCTTTGACCTTTAAGACAGTTGTCTCAGTGAGTAGACCTGCTTTAAATGTGACCCTGCTCTCCTGTGGTCTAAGCTTTTGCATCCTGAGACTGTGCATTGTGCCCATGTGCTGGATTCGATTGATGGCGTTAGAATTGAGGCGGATGTTGTTCAGCAGCCACTCTGCGTTTGCAACAACATAGTTTAGCTCACATGAAAAAGTGGCAGCGCCATCTTCCTCAATTTCAACAGGATCAAGATGTTTGACCAGCTTCAGTGTTTTTACTGTAAGACAAACAAAAGAGCATTATTATTTATTTGTATGTTTCTAGATACAAAAAGTAATTATAAATCAAATCAAACATCATAGGGATCAGGAAAAAGCTTTTTATTGACATACCTTCAACTTTGAGCTGCGCAGTGCTCTGTGAACCTCCAGCCATGCAGCGGTACTGTCCCGAATCCATCCCTGTCAGGCCATGAATGATCAGCTCTGCTCGTTTGCCCTCTCTTTTCATGGTGTACTTGTTTGAGAACTTTAGTGCGGTGCGACCTTTAAACCAACGCACCATCCGGGGTGATGGGGCAAACTCACAGCTCAGGCTCACAGAGCTACTCTCCTTTGCCTCCACATCATCTAAGTGGTGAACAACTTCAAGAGGTCGCTCTGATGAGGATACATACAGCAGACAGTTGGAAAACATCAGCATAAATTAGCTTTCTGCAGTGTGTCATTGCTTGGTTATTGCTATAAACAAGAAATATAACATTTTATATAGGAGTACTTTGTACCTTAAGCAAAAAAGTTTTATCTAAACCGAACAAAGGCTCCAAACATCCATCTAGTCTTACATTTTAATAAACAAATACAAAGACAATACAAAGACAAGGCAGTCATGTAACACAACTTTCCTTGGAATTTTATTTTCTGATTTTCAAATTTGAGTAAAAGTTTATTCTACTAAGAGCTCCTTCACTTCTGCTTTAGGGCAAATGTTGTCCCTTTAGGATTTTGAAAAACAGACTAAAAGCAAATTGTTGTAACTCACTCAATAACTTAGTAATATATAATTGATAAAGCCATACTGTTGGTAAAGAAATTTTTTTACAAAGGAAAGATGCACCTTTTCTTTATTTTCACTACCTTTGAGAGCATATAGTTACTAGTATCTGATCATATTAAGTATTTATTAAATTTTGATATCATGTAAAATAAAAAGCAGAACATAGTTTGTAATAAAAACTAAACAAGAAAAGGTTTTCAAACATGTCTTTTGAGATCAGTTTTCTCTTACAGCCTCAAATACAACACAACAAACCGCCTTTAAAAGTGAGTCAATAATAATAATCTAGCTGTGTGTCTTCAATATTAGTATAAATACAGCTTTAATACATACATTAATAAAATGTATCCTCCACTAATCTGACTTTTAAGCAAGAAAAGGTAATATAGATAATAGATAATAGAAAAAGATACAAAGAAGATACAAAAAGCCATAAGATGTGTATATTGCTGTCTGGTGCAAGCCTTCTGAAGAAATGTACTGTGCAGAGCATTAGGAGTAAAACATTGCTCTACAAGAGGAGGCAGGGGAGCACAATACAAATAAACACAACAGATTTCCTGAAAACAAACAAACATACAAAACAAAAAAACACTTAGAGAGTGAAGCTCGTTGTACAGTCTTTACACTGGGTCCCTGTCTGAATGAGGATAATCGCTGTTAGACTATAAATCACTGAATAGCATAGCACCAAAATACATTACAGACGTACTGTCAGTGTATCAACCACCCAGATCTCTCAGGGCTTATTGGTCAAGTCTACTCTGCATACCCAGATCCAGAATCCAACATGGAGAAGCAGCATTTACTTCTTATACACCACTAATACGTAATAAACTCCCAAACTGTAAAAATTCTGAAAATCTAGGTCGCTTAAAGTTGAGATTAAAATGTATTTGTTTAAAATGGCCTTTGACTGTACTATCTAAAAATAATGAGGTAAGTTTTCAGTCAAATTTTCATTTCATTTTTTTGTTCATCATTCTTTTGAGTAAATCTTAGTAATTATTATTTTATATTCTAACATGTGCGTTAACTTTGGAACTTAAAACTTTAAACAGTCTAAATCTACAATGCAGTTTATAAATAAACTTACCTTGCATTGACTCAAAAAAAAATTTTAGGTTTGTCTTTAGATTCACATTTATCCATCGGTTAATGCAACCATTTTTGGCATTTACTTAATCACATTTAGTTACTTTAACACAATTATTTCATGTCAGGAGTGTAGGACATAAAATAGTTGTTTGAGTAACTAAATATGATTAAGTAAATGCCAAAAACGGGTTGCATTATTTTCTTTCTGTGAAAATTTCAAGATATATCTTTGAAGCTTGTGAACTATCTAATTTAGACCTGCCTTGAGTAACTGGTTATTTGGTTGTCGGACACTTTAGGAGCCCATTATTTTTTGTTAATATTTAACTAAGACTATTTATTTATTTATTTATTTGTGGATAATCTCATTACCTTTATTTATTTTACTTTATTGTTTGATATTTGTTTTGAGATGTATTTATTTATTTTTGTTATTTAGTTATGTTTCCTTGTTACTGGTTAGTTATGAGTAATTTGGGGAATTACGTTAATAAATAGGCTGTCAATGGATGAGCATAAGGTTTTTCACCAGCATAAGAGAAGCATTGAGGAAATCTTTGTCTTTTCTTTTTGCTTGCTTAAGGAGAAATAAAACACAGAACTAAAAGACTACCTGGAAAGTTGATTTCTTTTTGCTTGCATAAATAACTTGTCAATGGTGCATGGGCCACAACAGATACTTTTTAATTTGTTGTGGCAAATTCAAATGATCACATCAGCTTTTTGACACACAGACCAACACAAATGCACAACAGTTACTGTATGTCTATTTTCTTATTCCTCATAAACTTTACAATGTATTTATGTCACAGCAATCCTTTTACTTTCTCAAATTAAATTGTTAGTACTACAAATTATATACTTAAATATTTTTAAGGTGGTTTTCATGTAATCCAAAAGTAACACTGAAAAGAGATTGCATGAGCACTCACCCTTGACAGTGAGCTGTGCGGAGGAACGGCTCTTCCCAGCCACAAAGACTACAGGCCCTGTCATGGAGCTGTCAGTGCTTGTGAAACACAGAGTGTGGAGTTTCCCCTGCCTGTCAATGTTCACTCCTGTAGAGTGCTCCAGGACCTCGTCATTCAAGGTCCACTTCGGGGGCCTCCCTGACTTTAAGCTGGTTTCCACCTGAAATACTGCTGGATTTGGCTCCATTACCTCCAGAGACTTCATCCCCTGCACAATGCTGATGGCCTGCTCTGCAGGTGCAACAATAAAACATCACCATAAAGCTTGTGTTTTTCTGATTTTTACATTTTAAGACAAGAAACATATAAATATATTAAGTTCTATTCATAAACCTCTATTTACAGCTACTTTAAAACAGTTGGAAATCAAACATAAAGGGGCCAATGTTAAATCTATTTCAATATTTTTGCTATAAAAACATGTATCCCACCCTCCACCAGAAGCTGACATGATGTTTTATCATCTCCCGCATCACATGTGTAGGTGTCTTCATCTGAGGAGCGAACATCTTCGATGGTCAGCTGCCTGTAGACATCCTGGCTGATTAGCTGATACTTCTCGCCGGGCAGGAGCTCCTTACTGCTCTTGTACCATCTGACCTGAGCATTAGGCCTCGACACTTGGCACTCCAGCAAACCTCTGTGGCGATACATGGCGATTTTGACCCTTAGAGGTCGAACTATTTGAACTGGGAGCTCTACAAAAAAAGTAAAAGTAGATTTTGAGATGACGATGGTGAGAAATAATCACATTTAACAGTTTTATTATACTCAGGTTGTACTTTCAAGGTACCTAATTCTGCAGCCAAAAAATGCTGGCTCACCTTTTACTGTGAGAGTGGCATGAGATGAGACCCGCTCTGCAGTGAATCTGATCCCCCCTGCATGTTCTGGTCTGACTGACTTGAAGAGCAAGGTGTGTGTTTTACCTGAAATCAGATTAGAATGTATATCAGTATAATCCTGCCTTAATCAATCATGTCTATGTTTCTTTGAGTCCTTATTTAGATTAAAACGTGAATGCTATGAATGGCTGTGTTGGTGAATGGGTAACTTTCTCACCCTGGTGTCTTATCTTGATGGTGTCCCCAGGTCGGATTCTGCAGTCATTGCGATACCACCTACCATCCACATCCACCTGATTGACTTCACATAAAAAGCTGACAGGACGACGTTCAAGCGTGTCCACATCCTCCAGCTCCTTCACAATGTATATGTCCCTAGCTGCCAGAAAAAAAAGCAGCCACTGTAACTGTCCTGTTATCGATGGAACTAAAAACAAATTTTTGGTTATATTTGTGTAATTGTTTTAAGTTTTAGATTTAAGTTTGGATTGGACTAGATAAAATGAAACAGATCAAATAAAAAATGTAGGTTTATCAGCAGCGAGTGCTCCAGGAGGGTTTGGTGATTTGCAGAAGTTAGTAGATGTAAGGTGTGCTTCTCCAAGATCTCACAGCCTCTCAATTATAGGAGAACAATTATTTCCAAACATTCAAACCTAAGGGCAGCAGGTGAAAACACATGTTTTCTGATCTTTGGGAGATGGAACGCAACAATGTTTAGAAGAGTGCAGCAAATCACTTGGTCTTTCAGAGAGGTGGTTATCCAACACATGGTACTGTGATGCTCAAAGATCCCTCTGTATGCTTTCATCTCCTCTAGAATGTTAACAAGAGAAAGGTAGAGTTCTATCAACTAAATCAATCATTAACTTATGTATACCTTTTTGTTATTGAATAAAAACTCTAATTAAAGGTCGTTTTTTTGGTGTATAACCATACAACTGTGAGCGTATGAATCATCAGAGATGTCAATCACCATATAAAGCCTTGAAATGGCAGAGTGTTGCCATTATCTGAGTCATTATATAAAACAAACTCATTCTGACTTGGATTTCAACTAAATAGACACCACAGTACTACATATCTTGGTTAAGTTTGTGCTTTACTGCCTTACCTCTGACATTAAGCCTTCCTGAAGTCTGCACCTCACCAGCCTGGAAACAGTATAAACCAGCATCTCCCAAAGCCACCCGGTTCAGGATGAGGCAGTGTTTCTTCCCATGTGTGCTGATGCGACAGCTCGGCTTTGACTTTACTTTTGTCCCATTTCTGGTCCAAATGCCCTCTATGTAGGCCAAGTTAAGAGTCACCTCCAAGGAGCAGCTCTCACACTCTGACACCTCCACATCCTCCAAACCCTTCACCACTTTCAGACGGTTTACTGGCAAACACAGATTAGAGTTTGAGAACCTCCTTACCAGAGCAGTAAAACCACTGAAAAGTAGTTTTAACAGAAATGTTGTAAAACATACCTGCAGCTGCAACTATCCCTCCACATTTATTATCCCCCATGTGTCCAGCTTTTGAGAAGATGTGTGAATATTTACTTTCAACAAAAAGGAATCTGCAGGGACAAAATAAATAGTCATAAAAAATA